TGGGTTCAGGCAATTCTCCTGCCTCAGCCTCCTGAGTAGCTGGGATTACAGGCACGTGCCACCATGCCCAGCTAATTTTTTGTATTTTTAGTAGAGACGGAGTTTCGCCATGTTGACCAGGATGGTCTCGATCTCTTGACCTCGTGATCCACCCGCCTCGGCCTCCCAAAGTGCTGGGATTACAGGCTTGAGCTACCGCGCCCGGCCCGAGAAATTTTTTTAATTGGAAAGTTTTTTTTGTGATCTTGAAAAAGCTAACTCTGTGGGTCATCCACTGTGATGGTAACATGTTCTTGTAGTTAAATGTTTTGAATTAGATGCTAAATTAAATGTGTTGAATTGTTCTACTTACACAGAATGTCCCTGGCTGCTTATTGTGTCATCTGTTGCAGAAGAATAGGAACCTCTACTTCCCCACCAAAAAGTGACACATACTGGAGAGATATCAGTGAGTATAGCTTAAACAACTTATTTTCTTATAGAAACAGGGATAGACTTGTGGCTTTTTCCAGGGTGGGCCACAAAGACTTATTGAACCCATGATGAAATCTCAAATTAGTTTATGTCTTTCTGTGCTAATAGTCCAACCCAAATTTATAGGACCAGAGCCATACATACTTCTTTTCCTTGAGAATTCTTTTCCCTCTTCTACTTCTGTCAAATTTCATACTCATCATCCTAAACTTAAATATAACTGCATTTCCATTCAGCAGATATTTATTAAACTCTTGCAAAACAAAGTGCCAGGCACCCATATTAGGTTCTGGGCTTACAGTGATGAGCAAGGAAGATGCTGTCCTTGCCTTAGAGGGGCTCGGGATATGGCTGAAGTCTACTCCATTTGTAGCCTTGCCTTCATTGAGGAAGCTTCTCTGACACCCTAGGCCAGATTGGATCTGTTACTTGTTATTTTGTAGGGTCAGTATAGAACTTAGTTAATTATCTGTCTTTCCCCATATACTGTAAACTCTGTGAAGGCAGTATTTTATCTTGTTTACCATTATAACCTAGTTATTTATTATGCATGGCATATAGTAGGTGATCAAATAGTATTCGTTGAATGGAAGAATGAAATAACTTACCTTTTCTGAGCATTATTTCCTTTATGTGTAAAATGAGAAGATTGGCCTAGAACATCTTTTATTCATTTGACAATAAGCAAAAATATTTAGTTGACCGTGTATTCTGCCAGGTACAACACTAGGCCCTAAGAAAACAATATTGAATAAAACAAAGTTTTTTTTCTCATGGAGTTTCTTTTTGATCTTTAAGACAAATCTGTTTTTAGGGATAAATCATTTTTATCTAGAAAATTCTGATACTGTGTTTTAAATACAAAAAGAGAAGTGAGGAGAAATGTCATCTTGGTAGCATGAGTTGAATCTCTGAACAAAGCACTATTTCTATATGTGCAATAAATTATAGTTTAAGGCTGGGTACAGTGACTGATGCCTGTAATCCCAGCACTTTGGGAGGCCGAAGTGGGTGGATCACTTGAAATCAGGAGTTCAAGGCCAGCCTGGTCAACATGGTAAAACCCCATCTCTACTGAAAATACAAAACTTAGCTGGGTATGGTGGCAGGTGCCTTTAATCTTAGCTCCTCAGGAGGCTGAGGCAGGAGAATAGTTTGAATCCGGGATTGGGAGATTGCAGTGAGCCAAGATTGTGTCATTGCACTCCAGCGTGGACAACAGAGTGAAACTCTGTCTNTAATGTCCTCCAGGATCATCTATGTAGGTGTTTATGATAGGATTTTATTCTTTTTACGGGTGGATACCATTCCATTTTATATACATGTGTGTGTGTATATATATCTATATATATATATAAAATCTATTATATATAATATATATATTTTTATATATATGTGTACATATATATACCTTTATATATATATATATAAATATGTTATACATAAAATTATGTATAACAATATATTTATATAAAAAATAGATTTTTGTGGGCTATCCTTAGTACCTAATCATCATGAGTACCATGTCAGTTAAGTTTGTGCACAGTGCATGCAATAGAAATGAGTCCAGTGGCTTAAGTTAATATGGTTTTCATTCTTCTTATATCATAATAAGTCAAGGTGGAGACAGTTTAGGGCAGGAATTGCAGTTTAGCAATCTTATTGTCTTCTTGCTCCATTCTCTTCATTGTCTTCATGGTCACAAGATGGTTGCTGAATCCTTGGGCATCAAGAAGCAGAGGGCCAAAAGCCATCTGGAGGCTTTGTCTTTTTATGTGGGGAGGGATCCGCCTCTATAGACTTCCATCTATATCCAATTGGCTACAACTGTGTTGCACAATTAGCCCTAGCTACAGACTGCCCTAGAAATTTGATTATTTTTAGGTGGCAATCAGATTGCATATTTGTAAGGACTAAAGGGCATGTGTACTGGGCAAGCAATTAGCAATGTCTGCCACAGGAATTTTTTAATATGAAAAAAGTTTTCTAAGACCCAAACAAACATTTATAAATAAACTTGTAGAATATAATCTCTATATTATATTATATTTTATTTTAATTTAATTTTATTTATTTATTTTGAGACAGAGTCTTGCTCTGTCACCCAGGCTGGAGTGCGGTGGTGCGATCTTGGCTCACTGCAGTCTCCACCTCCCCGGTTCAAGCAATTCTCCTGCCTCAGCCTCCTGAGTAGCTGGGATTACAGGTGCTGGCCACCATGCCTGGCTAATTTTTTTTTTTAAGTAGAAACAGGGTTTCACTGTGTTGGCCAGGTTAGTCTTGAACTCCTGACCTCAGGTGATCCGCTCGCCTTGGCCTCTCAAAGTGCTGAGATTGCAGGCGTGAGCCACCGCACCTGGCCTAATCTCCATTTTAAATGGGGCTATGTACATCTATACCTTACCATCAATTAGAACGTAATTACTTTAGAAAACATTCTTTTGTGTCCCCACTTGACAATATAATCCGTCAGTATAGTACTAGTAGTGGTAGGGACAATGCTTCCCGTTCCTTTATTTAATTGTTAACTAAAAGGGGTCAGAGGGGAAGTGAGTTGCCTGCATGTTGCATTCGGTGGAAGACCTGTAGTCCTGCCAGCATCAGTAGTGGAACAGGGACTAGGAAGTGGAGAAAGGGGAGAATGAGTATGAAATGTCATCAGTACACATTACATTTGCAGTCAGTGTTTAAGTGATTGGTGTGTTTGAGGATAGGAGACCATTTATTGATAGCAACTGATTATGTTAGTAGGAAAATAATGACTTCTCATCTGATAATGTGTGATATAGGTAGAGAACTACTGTGTTGCCTGTTTCCTGTCACACTTTAAAAAATGAAATTCATCACATTGACTTTTTTTCTTTTGAAGGAAATATAATAAAGTTTACTGGATCACTTATTTTAGGGTAAGTTGTCAACTGTGGAATATTAATTGGCTTCATTATACTCTATTTGAAATCTCAATGGAAGTGACTTACAGGTTGCATGGGGTATTCAAAGGGTATAGATTTTGGAATTAGACTGCTGGATTTAATCACTGATTCCACTACTTAAATGTTGTCATGATGTTTTCTTATCTTCTGAGGAATGCGTTCTCTTAGAGCCAGCTGTGTACCAGGAACTCTGCCTACCTGGCACTGCTGCTGTGAGGAAAGCACTTTGACACACTCATATCAGGCACTCACTTAGCTGTGACACACTTAAAGTCATGTTGTGTATTAGTTTCTAAAGTGGGTGAAAAAGGTACAAATTACTATAGTCAAAAGTATTTCGGAAAATCCCTTAAATCACCGTAAAACTCACATGAAAGGAAATTGAGGCTAACTGAGAAAACCAGCAGACCAATATCTCCCATCCGATGTTCCCTCAGGAACACGTGGGTGATGAATGCAGTGACCTTCTTTCAGCAAACTGTTAGTTTTCACATTCCTCCTTTTGTTTTTTTTTTTTAGGGGAGGAATGTATATGTAATACCATTGTACTGTATTTGTTAATAGTTTGTTTTACTAGTACAAATATAAAATTAGCTCTTAGATGCTAAAATGATAAAAGAGATATATTTGGCATTTTATCCAAATGCATCCATTTCTCTGTGACATTGTAATGTAAGGCAAAATGTATTTAGATAATTTTCCCCTTTGACTCATTCTGGCCAAAGGATAAATGTATACGTACCCTTTTCTGTAATACAGTTTGTCTAGCTCACAATTATATTCAGGATATAGTGAAAATTAATTACAGTTTTTATTATAGTAAATAATTTTGTCTTTCATGGAAAACATGATAAAAGTACTGAATACATTTACCCCTTTTGTTGGCTGTTCAGATACATCCTCAAAAGAGCAGAGGATTCTTTTTCTTTTTTTGAGACAGGGTCTTACTGTGTCATCCAGGCTAGAGTGTCCAGTGGTGTGATGTTCACTCACTGCAGCCTCTGCCTGCCAGGTTCAGGTGATCCTTCCACCTCAGCTTCCTAAATAGCTGGACCACAGGTGTGCACCACCACACTTGGCTTTTTTTTTTTTTTTTTTTTTTGCATTTTTAGTAGAGACAGGGTCTCGCCATGTTGCTCAGGGTAGTCTTGAACTCCTGAGCTCAGGTGACCTGCCTGCCTTGGCCTTCTAAAGTACTGTGATTACAGGCCTGAGCCACCACCCCTGGCCAAGAGCAGAGGATTCTAAAGAGCCTTCTTTGTGTTCCTCTGGTGCTAGCCAGTGTCCGAACTTTGTTTCACCTGCTTGCCTGAGGGTGGAAACCAAAAGTCAGAAGGTGTAGGAAAACAATGTTGCTAAGCTCTGAATCCAGAGTACCACCTTTGTGTCAGGATTTAGGGAGTGTGTTGTCAGTCTGATTAGGAAAAAAGAAATCTTCATTTTGAGATACACAACAAACAACATTTAAAAGTTAACTTCAGGTATTGCTCTTAGGAAAGGAGAAACTTTAATATGTGGCTGATGGGAGTACACATTGGCTAATCTTTTTGCAGAAAGTTTGTCATTATCTAGCAAAATTGAAGATGTATACTATCAGAAGGTATGTAATTCTAGATATGTACCTTAGAGGAACATGTACGGGTATGCACAGTACAGATATATAAGATATGTCTTTTTTTTTTTTTTTTTAACAGACGGTTTCACTATGTTGGCCAGGCTGGTCTCAAACTCCTGACCTTGTGATCCACACACCTCGGCCTCCCAGAGTGCTGGGATTACAGGCGTGAGCCACCACGCCTGGCCAAGATGTATAACATACATAACAGTGGCCGGACGCGGTGGCTCATGCCTGTAATCCCAGCACTTTGGGAGGCCAAGGCAGGCGGATCACGAGGTCAAGAGATCGAGATCATCCTGGCCAACATGGTGAAACCCCATCTCAACTAAAAAATACAAACATTAGCTGGGTGTGGTGGTGCGCGCCTGTAGTCCCTGCTACTCAGGAGGCTGAGGCAGGAGAATTGCTTGAACTTGGGAGGTAGAGGTTGCAGTGAGCTGAGATCGTGCCACTGCACTCCAGCCTCGCATCTGGTGACAGAGCAAGACTCTGTCT